CGGGTGGGAATATATGCCTCTTTTGGGGTTTTTGGTTGTTGTCCCCTCGACCGTTAGTCGGCGCATGATCTAGTTGGTGCATGATGTTTGAGTAGATTCTTTTTGTCATGTGGGTCAATTGTGGTATGGTGTGGTTGATACGAGTTGTATGTTATTATGGTGTTGTTCTATGGTGCCTTTCATGTCGCGCAGGTGTGTGGGATCCCTGTTGTAGGGTGTTGCAATATGTTAATGATTTGCTTATACTAGGCCGCAGAAGCGACAAAAACCTGAACTCTTGAGTTGTTGCATATGTGATTAAAGGGGACTTTTAACTTAATGCTATGGTTGGGTTTTAACTTAATGAATCTTTAGTAGTTGCGGATGCTTGCTAGAGTTTCAATCATAAGAAAATGTGACTAAGTATGAAAAGTATGTTAGCTTAAGCCTCTCCCTCATAAGTATGATGATTATCACTATCATGTCATATTCAGTTGACTAGGGACAATTATTTTCTCATTGTTCATCAAAAACCTTTATTTTATTTTTATTTTATTTAAAAAAGCATCTAACTATTTATTATCTTGCAAATGTATCTTTTTATCCTTGCAAACTACTCCCTCTGTCCGTAAATACTTGTCATCAAAATGGATAAAAATGGACGTATCTAGAACTAAAATACGTCTAGATACATCTCCTTTTATCCATTTTGATGACAGGTATTTCTGGACGGAGGGGGTAGTTTATTTCTTGTTCTAGGTAAAGCGAACTTTTAGTGTGCTAGAGTTGTATCGATGATCGATACAACTTGAAAGAATATTAATTCTATCTTTAGCTCCTTGTTGGGTTCGACACTCTTATTTATTGAAAATGCTATAACTGATCCCCTATTTACTTGTGGGTTATCACCTGCTTAGGGGCGCGATGGGGGCAGTCCTTAGAGACGACGAAGGCATATTTATTGTGTGTGGGGGGGGGGGGAGATTGACTACTGCACGAATGTCTTGATGGTTGAAGTCTTGGCTCTCAATTTGGTCTATTACTGGCGCAAAGGTCGAGATGTAATCGCATTATTAGCTCCTCAGACAACCTGGAGGTGATCGATGCCATGAAGTATGGAGGACGGTCGATGGGTGCGGCGGCGACAGTCTTCGATGATTGTTTTCATTATGCTTGTGATTTTATATTACTAGGTTCGAACATTGTAATAAAGAAGCAAATAAAGTTGCACATGAGCTTGCTAGATTAGGTAGATTTTCTATGACTTCTGATTGGTTTGAGGAACCCTTAATGAAATTGTAACGATCCTCATAAACAACGTATTAGTTATTTCTATTGAATAGAGTTTCTAGTTTATTTCAAAAAAAAACCCAAACATCAAATTGTTATACTACTAAAGAGTAGTTCATAGGTATTCCTTCAAAAATTACCTATCCTCGAACACTCATCAAAAGGCAGAACAAATTTACGAGCATATTTAAATAAGGTAGACCAATAAAAATCAGACTGTAGTACCTTGTGTGCAGTTTTGT